TGTATCTGTATCTGTGTGTCTGGAATATGCATGTTGTGGTTGGCAGAGAAGACAAGAAATAAACAATGCAGCCCTTCAGGGAATTTCCTCCACACTAATGAATCTCTAGACTCCCAGTAAGGTCCAAAAATACTTTCTGGCAGATACTAGAAGTGAGTGATCTGCTGCCTAAGGCTAAGTATAGCCACATTAATACTGAGATATAATTAGACATATTGAAAAGGACAAGCGGTTGTGGGCAAGGTGTACCTACAGCAGCCCATTACAATTTGCATCTGGTTGGTTGCTCTAATTGGTTCACGTCCGGTGGGTTTGCTGCAATTTTGGCTAATGCCGTGTGCCTGTGTTATTAAATACGCCTCAGTGACTTTGTCATTTAACTATTTAACTCTCCATTGCTGAGTTTTAAAACTGAACTCCAGTGTACTGTATCCCCTTTTCTTCTAACAGAATAAAAAATTATGTACGCATTCCTTTTTCTCAAGGACCTTCATGAAAGTTCGATGATGTCCCAGGTTCTTCCTCATCTCTGGTGGCGTTGGGCAGACCTTATTGCAGCATAGTCCTACAGTACTCTGAGCCCAGGCTGATGTGATAATGTACCCCAGGAGGTGTGTCCATGACAGCCTAGACTCACACAAAAATTAAACGGATTACGCTGGCCGTCACTCAGACCACAAAGATAACTCCATCTAGTGGCAGAAAAGAATTTATGCGAGGAACAATGCCAAACTAAAGGTGATTATTTCAGCCAAGGCTGTTTTTTGTTTGAACTTTTTCTTGACAGCTAGTTTTCTATTTTATTGCATATTTTTGGACATATTTCCATGGTCCTGTAAATGGTTTAGAACAGGAATTGCAAGCTGGATTCAGTTTTCTTCTGTAAGGCCTCTTTCACATCGGCCTAGCTGCTGATTTCACTTTGACGTTCCTCTTCACCATGCCACAACTGTATCCAGAGGATGCAGTTGCATTGCAGTTGCAGTGTGATCCCATTCACTTCTATGGGTTGTGGGGGCAAGCAGTATTGAATGCTGAAGGAGAAATGCTCTTTTGTTTTTGCCGTTGATAAACACAGTTTTGCGGATGAAACAAGGTGGGTTAAAAACATGCCTGATAGTGTCCATATTAGAGGGCCCTAGTGATAACATGCTGCATTGTATACTCTCGCACAACCTCCAGTGTATTACAAATCAGGATATTTTAAATAAGCTCCTACCAACACTGGAATGCGTTCCCCCACCTCAATGTATACCTTACCAATCTAGTGCAGTGCTGCCTAATTCTTCTACCTAACTCAGATCAACCATGTGATCTTGAGAAATACTGTCCAATAACAATATAACAGTCCCAAATGTTATTCCCCGCATCACTGTGATTCACTCCAAAATTCACTCATTTTTGGCACTTGTGTTTTCTCCACCATGCAGACTATGCTCTCACCTCTAAATGTTGACCTATATATCAATCAAATAGGTCACTCACAGCCTTCCCCTTGGTTTCCTCCACTCTCTGGGTTACCAGCCATTCTCTGATATCTTCTAAGGCAAACTTGCATCCTTTTCCCCTTTAAGGGTAAAAGCTTTTTACTTTCACCTTCTGAATCCCCCAAGATATTTGCTCTCTGACAAAGAAGTTTCCATTGCAGCTCATTTCCAGTTATCCATGCATGCTGCCATAAGCACACTATCTGAACCTGTAATTTTATGTATGTTGGCAGCAGGGTCTCTTCAAAGCGGACCTAAAGTCTGATAACTTAAAGTGGAAATTTACCCAAAAGGGCAAGTTCTGCTTCTCTGCCTCTACCCCACCCCCTCTACAACTTTTGGCACATTACGTTTTTTGGGTGGGATCAGGTACCTAGTTTTGAAAATCCTACTTTGCAACCTCCAACATCTGCAACGTCACAGGTCCCAGTAGGCTGTTGGACCATTTACAAAGCGCAGCCCAGCTTGCACATGTACAGTGGGAAACCAGCTATGAAGCTGCAAAGAGCCACAGCCATGTTCTCACACTAAAGAGAACGGTGCCAGAGACTGAAGATCGTATTTGTAGCTGTTGACTTAAAATTTTTTGTTCCTAGGGTGAAGATCCTCTTTATTTTCTTTAGAGGATCTTCCAGGACTTGAGAGAGAGTGGCTCCACCCACTGGTGGCCGGGCAGAAGAAAAGGACAAGGTACCTTATTCACAAGATCACAATTGCGTTTAAATTCCAGCATGCAGGTAATTTTTTAATTTTTTATTTCGTATATGTAATCATTTTTTATGTATTGTATTGCGTATTAATGAACTTTTGTTACATAGAGAAATTAAAGAGGAGCTCCATCCAAAACGCAAAGTTCCGCTTTCAGGACTGCTACCCCGCTCCCCATAAAGAATTGGCACCTTGGGGAGCAAGGGGGGGCGGGTACCTGATTTTGACAGGTACCCACTCCCACATCTGCTCCGACCACCTAGATTGCGAGACCATTCACAATGTGCAGAGCTGGTCGCGTATCTGCAATGGGCACCCGGCTGTGAAACTGCAAGCTGTCACAGCCGGGTGCCCATACTTAAGGTGCCAAGGACAGAGGATGGCCAGTGAACCCAGCTGGGGTTAAACCACCGCTGGATCGTTGGACAATGAGTGGCAGTTTTTTTACAGTTTTTGTAGCTGCTGACTTTTATTTTTTTTCAGAGGAGACTTGAGCTCCGCTTTAAGAGTGCTGCACTAGAGATGTAAGGTATATTTTTTATGTTATTGACGAAAGGTTTAGCCATAACTCAGTGCAATCCTGCATGCTGAAATAATATTTTTTAAAAACCTGGAATTTTCTGAGTATATGTGACATCCCCCTCCAAAGTTCCTGGATTTGTTGAGGACGCATAAAAATAATATTACAGCGCAAAAATTAGACAAACAATAGTGATTATATCAACAGTGATGAAACAATAATAAAAAGTCCACTTCAGTGCTCCAATCAAAAAAACGATGCCAAAAAACGAAATGTGTTCCTTAAAAAAATATCCCCGCTACCCGCGGCGCTCCGGAGCCATCTTTGTTAGTCTTTCACCTGCTGACGTGGGAGCACACACTTGCTGGTCTAAATATTCATTGATGTGGGAACCGTACAGTTGCCGGTCTACTACCCTTTGATGTGCGAGCCATAAATTGTTGCCGGTCTAAATATCTATTGATGTGGGAAAGTTTTACAGCATTTAAGGCTTCTTTTTATCTTGTGGGATGGGAGTGCAATAATGCTTTGGTTTTAATTAAATTAAAGAATATTACAGTATTACACTATTAGTGTCCCCATTGTCTTTTTGCATCTCATCTGTCCTTTTGGTGGCCGTTGGAGATTGTCAAGCAAGCATTTCTGCTCTGATCTGGTTCATTCCGGGGAACACACATCACCAATAAAAGCTTATTTGCCTCTTAAGTCATACAAGCCAAGAGTCCATCATATCTGGTGAGTGTAGATTGTACCGGAACGTGATCATGGATGGTGTGGGGATATTATTTAACCTCCCTAGTGGTATTCCCGAGTGTAGCTCGGGGAAGAGTTTCAGTACCAAAAGCGGTAACCCCGAGCTACACTCGGGCTTAACATGCAGCGTTGCATAGGGAGTCCCTGCAGCGCTTACCTTGTCCTTCGCTCCCGCGATGTGTCCCCTGCAGCGTCCCCGGCCATCTCCTCCGGCCGATGCCGGCATCCGGCTTCCGTGTTCCGGTCCCTGTAATGTCGGGATGTACGGGCGCCGGAACCAGCGGCAAATTTGAAATTTTTCAAAAAATTTCATTTTTTTTAAAAATGATTATTACATAGTAAAACATTGCTGTTTCAAAACATTTCACATACATTTTGTCCCTACTGCTTTGTCCTGTGCCCTGCCTGCAGTTTTATCTGCCTGGAAACTTATCAAAGTCCATGGCGTCCAAAAAGCGTCCCTTTATGTCAAAAGCGGTTTTAGACCAGCTAGAGAACAGCGATAGTAAATCAGAACCACTTGCAGAATTGTGTGATAATGATTTGTGGGGAAATTCGTCATCAGACACTGAAAACGATTCTGCGACTTTGCTCAGTGATGTCCGAACTTGGCGCTATATTTAAAATGTAAGTGTTTTTGGTTTGATTATATTATTTAATTAAATTTATAATTATTATATTATTATTTTTTATGATTATTTATTAAATTATAATTTATGATTTTATATGTTTCAAGTTTTATCATATCCGGAATGTTTACTAGACTCTTGTTCGGACAGATTTCAGTGAGTTATTCCTAAATTACAGGCCTACAATAAAAAAAATACATATTTCCATGCAATAAAATGGTACCGCTTTCAGCACCAAAAATCTGAAATAATCATACCGCCAGGGAGGTTAAGGAACACATTTTGTTTTTTGGCGCCATTTTTTGATTGGAGCACTGAATCGCTGTTTATTTGGGACAGTGGGCTTTTTATTATTATTTCATCACTGTTGATATAATCACTATTGTTTGTCTAATTTTTGTGCGCTGTAATATTATTTTTATGTTTGGTGGGTCTTTTACCTTATGAACAGCCGCATTAATTATTTGGGTTATATAATAATTTTAAAATAATTTTTTAGGCGTGGGTTAATTTCACACACGTTGTTGAGGACACAGTTTGAGGTTTCCCCTGTAGCTTCCCACGCTGCTGAAAACTTGTACTGCATCCAAAATACTATAGTTCTCTGTGAGTTGTATCCCATTACATCGGTAGAAATATTTCTTGTTTAGTTTACAAAAGTGTTCCAATCCCAATCAGATAGGGAAGTTTCAGTTTTTTTCTGAAAGTTACCTCTTTTTTTCAAAAACTGACAGATGTTGGGAGACCTCTGGCTTGCAAGGACAGTCACTACTGAATGGCTGCTTTAATCAGAATGACATTTATCAAGTCTACAATAAGACTCTAGCAATACAAATGAATGAATATGGAGAAGGGTCTCCGCAACTACTGGTCATAAGGGAAGCAAGCATATATTATACTTACCGTCTCTGGACTGGAGAATTTGCTTGATATGTGTACGTTGATCAGGTTTTCACCAACAATGATATAGGAGACACCGTAACCATCATCAGCAACCTGCAAGTACATCAAATTCTTAGCAGGAACTTTTCAGTAATATACTAGGATATCATTCTAATGTATGAACTAAACCAAAAATTGTTAATTGACTTTGATGTCTCTGCATAGTAACACAGGTGGGCCCCTGCAGCAGGGACAAGAGATACAGCTAGAAATGTGAAGAAACCCTATTGTCCCCAATATAAAAACTGCAGGTAAAAGCACAAACAAATCAAGTATTTTAAATGCTTACTTGCAGCCTTTTCCCTTTCCATAAATAATTTTATATTCACTAACAATGGTCCTTTGAACTTGATTGCAAATTTGACTTCTAATTACTTTCTGTGCTGGACCATCTCCTCTGTACCTCCCTACATAACCGTTTATATAGCTGCTAGGGGAGAAACAAAGGGGAATACTATAGAGTGTCATATCAATGACAGTTCTGAGTCTGCTGGGGTTGCTGATATCAAATCCAAGATGGTGGCACCCAGCAGTTGTTTTAAGTCTTTTGCATGTCTAAACACAAGGGAGGCTTTAACAGGTAAATAAAATACATACTATATGCATGGTTCGGCAACAGGGTCTTAAAATGCAGATTTTTTTTTTTTAATTTTGGATTTCCCAGTACTTTTTCTGTCCTGCGTAAAGACAGCAGAAAAACCTGAAAACTCTTCCAGACTCTATCCAAAACTAAAAAAAACATTTCGTCTTTAGATATACTTTACATACAGAACTACCTGCTTGCGAAATATGGTATAGTAGGGTGACCATACAAAATCTCTTTGGCTTTTTTCATCGCTACAATTATACTGCAATTAAAGGAACAGGCAAAATTACTTACAGGTCCAAAGCCACCACCACTTGAAACATTTTCTGGGTACTTCTCCAATTGGAAAAGGTGAACCTGCTGCTGTGGTGTCTGGCTGGTGGACAGTCTCCATGGCTCTGACAGAACCTGTAAGAATTAAATGTTGACATTAGTGTCATTCGAAATAACTGTATAATGACTGCAAAATAATTCACATTTTGGCACCTGAATCATAAAATAAACAGGTAACTAATTAAAAAAAAAAAACTCATTAGTGATTGTCTTCTTCTGGTTCACAGAAGGGGCGTCTCGGTTTTCAGCTCCAGCTAATTGGATGTCACATTTTGGCATTGAACAGGTAGCTTTAAGTCAGGGGTCAGCAACCTGTGGATCGCAATCTACCAGTAGATTTTGTCAAGGTGACTGGTAGATCATGGTCTGTGCTTGCTGACCTGTCATCTCAGAGCATCATACAGAATGCAATCCTGACTACTTGTAAAGCTGGAGCTGTAGTGGGGAGCAAGAGCCGCATAAGCCAATGTCTCCTCTGTATTGCTGGCTCCTGTCCATGGGGAGTGATACCAACTGCACTCCACCTCTTATCCCGGCTAGTGGGCTCCAGAGTGGTACCAGGAGCAGGAAAGAAGAGATCTTCAGGTCAATGTGAAGCAATACACTGGACATAATAGTACAGGGCTGCTTTCACACTGATACGCTGCGATTTACCCACACAACGGGTTCAGTGCAGTGTACTTGTGAGTTTGCTGTGCTTAGCCATAGACTTCTATTATATCCTGCAGGTTTGGTGCACTTTCTGAAAACACACCAAAACTCCTGAATGCAGGAGTTTTGGTGGGCTTTCAGAAAGTGCACCAAACCTGCAGGATATAATAGAAGATTATGGCAAAGCATAGCCAACCCAGGAAAGTTGCAAATGCAGTACACTGCACCAGCGGTGCAGGTAAACCGTAGCACATCAGTGTGAAAGCAGCTTTATAGGGGGCTTACAACAGTAAGCATTAATTTACATTTGAAGTTTGGGGTGTGGTAAAACCCAATAGTTAAGAAGTGTTTTTACCACCCCTGCCCCAACAGCACCCCCTTTAGCTGCAGTGGACAGGGGTGTACACATGTCACAGGTGCAGCAGGAGTTGTACACCCTGACATGGTTGGTGGGCATAGCACCTGCCAAGCATGACCCATTCAAGTGAATGAGAGGCTGCTCTGCAAGTACCCTGCAGCCTTGTGCAGTACAGCAAGTAAGGAGTTACAGCCGGCAGTGTTGTGTTGCTTTCTCACCACTTGCATTAATCTCTTAGACCCCACAGAAGCATGCAGTTGTGGGGCGCTTGCAGAGTGGTCCCATTTACTTGAATGGTTCACAATTGGAAGGCAGTAGGCAGTCCGGCATACGAACTGACTCCCTCCGAGTGACGTTGACAACGTCACTCGGAGGGAGTCAGTTCGTATGCCGGACCACGAGTACACAGCTCCGACAATCAGCGGCGGTTTGGGATTGTATTTGTGCTACCACTATCCGCACACTATATATGTGAGTGCCATATCCCAAGCAAATTAAAGCCATACTTATATAAAAGATAAAGCACCATGTCGAGATCTTTTTTGTATGTGGAGAATCGCATGGAGATGAAAATATAGAGGAATTGCACCCTCTGGAGAGGAGATTCATCCTACAGCATATGTCGCATACCATGGATATCTTAAAGCAGGAGTTCTAAACAAGCAGGTTCCAAAGGAGGTGAACCACAAGCTTATATAGCCTAATTGCAGGCTTCTTATGAGGTGAGCGCACATCTTCACTTGAGGGAGGATTCACAAGCAGTCACCGATTTATAATCTTTGTAGATTGAAGATTTTCCAGCACAAAGTCACTTTTTGGGACATTTGCTTTATATTTATTTCTATTTTTTAGATTATTTTTTGTTTTTATTTTCATTTTTATTTTATAGTTTTTAGCTTTTTATTTGTTATGCACATTATTTATTTGTACTAATTTAAATTATAAGTGTATTAGTATTTATGTTCACTTACACACATCATTCTTAATTACTGTGATCCTTATTATAGAGATCAAATTCAAATAATAATATATTGATTTGAGGTTTGGGAGCGCAACACTATATATTTTATTTTTGCGGTTTATCACATTGGTAGTTATGTGCTAGAGGTTTGCGATCCATTATTAGAGTGTATTAATAAGGAGTTTTTGTCTACTTTCTGGCTCGCGAGATATTTTAAATAATGCTTGTTCAGAAAGTATGACAGCCAGGCAACAGGGATTTTTAGAAGAAGGTCAGCAATAACAACCTTTTCTATAGCTGCACTCCGAGCAAATATGAAAACAAACATTGCAGTTATGCTTTCACTAAAAAACATATTATATAGTATTACATAGTGTAAATATATCATTTCATATAAATCCCCTTTACAGAGACTGGGAGAAGGAAGGCCAAGACTAGGAACCAGTCAAGCTTTCCTTTAGTGCAGATTAGATGAAAGGGGACAAGCAGACTGGAGGAGAGAGCAGGGAGAACGGAATGATGAGAATGAAGAGGTGTCCTGCTGTTCCTTCATCATCCACTGACAGGCTGCCATGGGTGCTGGATCATCTGGTACTGCTGTACTGCTTAACTGCAATGTAGTCTTCAGGGAGATCTTAGGAAATGGCTTTGATGGGTAGTCTGGATCAGAGCACTAACTGAACAGTGTTAAAATTGCTTTGGCAGGTAAATATATTTCCTATATATTTATTTTATTTTAATTATTTTCTTGCTTGGAACTTGGCTTTAATTTCCAATCTGTGTAGAATATAAATTGTACTAATAAAAATGAATGCTGATTAGTAGATGAGACATACTTCTTTAAGGAAAGGAGAGTCAACCCCCAGGTATTTTGACACCACGTAGAGACAGAAGAGGTGACGATCAATTCCAGCTCCCGTCATGGCCAGGCGGTACATCTGTTGGTGCTTCTCTGCTGCTGCCTTGAATAACTTAATTTTATTTTCATTCTGCATGAAAGAAGGAAATTGAATTATACATCTTAGTTCTTTGATCATCAGTATATAGGTGTGACACAAGGATCACATTGGTACCAGTATTTGAAAGTAAAAAAAAACATAAATAATAATCTAAAAAAAATAAAATAAAAATGTAAAAACTTTTTTGAAAAATTACAGTTTTTAGTTATAAACTACTTTGGGTTATTTTTTTATTTTTACTAAAAAGATAACTGAATAAATTTTGGCCAAGATTTATGAAAAAAGATTATTTTCAAAATTTTTATAAGAAAAACACTTTTTTTTCAAAATTTTTGGCCTTTTTCATTTATACAGCAAAAAAAAAAATCCCAGTGGTGAATAAATACCACCAAAATAAAGTTTTGTCTGTCTTAAAAAAATGCTAAGAAATCCATATAGGTATAGTGTTGCATGACCGTGCAATTGTCATTCAAGGTGTGATAGCACTGAAAGCTGAAAATTGGCCTGGACAGGAAGGGGGTAAAAGTGTCCGGACTGGAAGTGGTTAACATGCATGCCATTGTGCATTAACTTGGAGAGTTGCCTGTTTTCAATGCGAATTTGATGCACACAATGGGTTCAAGTGTGTCATTACGCATCAACGTGCCATGACAGGTGTTGAAACATGTTTTGACACATGCGCTGAGATGTGTTTTGATGCATTACTATTACTTTTAATGGAAGACACATCAAGCAATCATGCAAAGGTGTGAATCTAGCCTAAGTGTAACACCTACATGTATTTATTATTCCTCACAGAGATCACAGTACTTCTGACAATGCCTTCATTTACTTTTCTCTTCAGAAGGACAGAGCAACCCTTGTTCAGGTATCATTCTGGTGCCTATGTAGTTCCTGGCTGTGTTAACAAAAGTAAAAGATCACTCTGATGCAGGGGCGGACTGACCATTTGGAAACTTGGGCACTGCCCGAGAGCCTGGGGTCAGTAGCGGGCCCCATGAGATGCCCTGGTACCTTTTTCATAGGCTTTTTTGAGTTTGGGCAAGGACACAGAGGCCCCATGATCCCCTATTGCCCGGGGGCCCCATGAGTTGTCAGTCCGCCCCTGCTCTGATGCATCCTCTCACTTTGTAACTTCCTTCACAGCCTGATTACTGAGGAAGGTGGGACTGAGGCAATGTTTCCATCTCCCTGGTATCATCTCAGTCTTGGCAAAGTCACATGCCTGGAGCTCAAGGACAGATTTTTAATGATGTGATGTTTAAACAATAACACTGCTTGTCAGGAGCCGACTGGTGGCAGCCTCTAGCGACCCACAGGCCGAAATTCTCCAGGGCACGGAGTCTAAGCCTCAGTCTGCTGGTTCACCAGAGCCCCTGATGGTGGGGATGGACTTGAAGCAGGCTGAGACCAGGTCGCGACCCCCGAGTACAACCAGCTGTGGTAGAGGTAGCCGCCAATGGCAAGTGGCAGATGAGAGCCAGATGTGAAGAGGTAGTAGCGTAGTCAGACAGGCCGGGTCGGTAACAGCGGAGGCAGACGGTACAGAGCGGCAGGCAAAAGGATAAACAGGTCACAGGCCAGGTTCAGCAACAGAAGGTCAGACAATCAGGATCAGGCAGAGAATAGTCAGGACAAGCCAAAGGTCAGAGCAGGAGATGAGCAACAGGATCAGGGTCAGGCTGGGTCGGTAACAAGGCAATCACTGGACAGAACGAGCAGGAACGCAGGAACAAGACCATATGGCAATTTGGAGATGCACAGGGCTGGTTTAAATAGTGCGCCCTGTGCTCTCATTGGTGCCAGGCGCGTGTCCGCGATTGCGAGTGTGCATGCGCAGCCGCCGCTTTTGCCTATGCCCTAGTGCCCACCGGCTAGTGCGCATCGGCGTTCTGCGCATGCGCAGACCCGTGCGCCGCCACGATCCCTGACACTGCTACTCTATATTTTGACAGTTCAGGAATTTATTCATGCAGACTTGTAAAAGTTGCTGACGGGTCTGCTTTGGGTACTTACGCTTTGTTTGGGATCTGCCATGGCCAAAACAAATTCACTGGATTCAATAGTACAAGAACGCACAGTTTCAGTCCTGCCTTCCCTGAATAATCTGGTCATGGAGGCCTCATAGGTCAGGCAGAATTTTCCTTTGTCCTGTAGTGAAATAAAAATTTTAAAGACATGTCAAATGATGATATATTTGTCACACATTTTGAAGACAAAACTGTAATAGCCTCAGCAATGCCTCCTCAGAAGTGCCTCTGAAATAAAACATTAGAGTTATGCATTATCACGTAAGCAATGTTCAAACTCAGAACAAATTGACCAGTTTTATGAACACAGCTTATCTGGATTCATTGTAACACATGGCTTGCAGAAGAACTTTCACGAGCAAGCCTTCTAGTCAATTTCAGCGCAGCCATTTAACCCATCAAAGCTTACCCGAAAATGTGCCAGCTGAAGAGCCAACTGGACAAAGGCATCCGGGCTTGTTCGGGTTTTTCTTGATAATCCCTTTGCCAAAATTGTCAAAAGGAAATGAATGAAAATCAACATCATCTGCAAGAGCTTTGGCAACAGTCATGGAACTCTCAATCACGTTTTGGCACTTAAACAAAGAAAAGAGAAAAGAAGCAAAGTGTTAGCTATAGGTTGGTCATGAATTTCCATTGATTCTATTGTAAAAGATTGTATTTATGTGCACAGTACAATAAGTGTGACCAGGCGGTTACTAAAGGTGGCATCATATGGTGGGACACTTGTCTATCATTTAACCTGCTATGATGAATCTCGCCACTTGGCCAATGGCAAGGTGATATACTGTACATACAGGATTACAAACCTCCTATTTTTTTTTAATAAATTGGTGCCAAGTGCACAGAGAAAATCTCCATGTGTGAAGAAAAGAACTTCTGACAGTTATACGGGTCTCCTATGGAAGCACAGTAGGGTTCAGTCCTCATTGCACTGGCATGAATATGGACAGGTATGGTCAACCTAACCTAGCTGCATCAAGAGAACAGCTGCTGGAATTGAATCTATTGGTTTCCAATTGGTAATTACTACCATCACCTGACAGAATATTGTCTGTACAATTCTTTCTCTTAAAAGAAAAAACAAAATGTCTTTCCCATGCAATTTAAGGATCATGTACTGTAAATGGGCAATAGACTGAAGCTGGCCATACACTAGTAGAATTTAGTTTTAATTTTTTTTAAGAACGTTAGTTTAATTTTCCAATCATTATTAGGTTCAATGAATTTCTAACAGTATAAGTAGATTGCTTTTAGGAAAGTCCATTTGTTTCAAAATCGAACGTTAAAAGCAAATTAAATTTTGCTTTAGGAATCAGTCAGTACAGTATGCTTCTTAGTTGCATTTCCTTGAGCTTAAGTTGCTTTGATTTGCTTTCAGTTTTTAAAGGCATTGCTTCAAGTTTCTTCTGAGGTTCCTCAAGCTGCTTAAAGTGGAACTTTGCCCCGCTCAATCAGCATGGACTATTTTATTCCTTATACTGCTAGTATTTATAAATAGGTAGGAATGTATATCACATTTACTTGGTTTTAAGGTTGTTTTTTTCTTCAGTTACTTCCTGGTTTCCATGCTTAGGCAAATTATGTCATATATCCCAGGAGTCTTTAGGAGAGGAGGGAGGGTTCTCATCTCAGCCAATGCCCAAGCTAAGGGCAGATGGGTTGCAGGAAGTAAATGCTACATGAATTATCTGCCCTTACTAAAGATGGCCACTGCCAGAAATCCCAAAATGAATTCTCAGCAAAATAAAGCATGGAGACATGGATGGATAGAGGACTTTGCTTTGAATATTAACAATGGATAAAATAGCATTTTTGGTTTGTGGTGCTCATATGCTGTGCAGTTCCACTTTAATGTTGCCTTTTTGTTCTTGCTTCTCAGCCTTTTGGCTAATTGGAGCATCTTATCAGTGTTCAGTAGGGGTGCTCCGCTGCCATTCTGGCCTTATGGCTGGGATGGCTGTATAGGATCCCTGCTGATGGAGATACTGAGGGATTCTTCCTGTACAAAGAAATCCAAATTCAGTGTGCACCATGTAAGGTGTGGGTCAGCAGTACACCCCTAGTATAAGGGGATTCCAATGGGAGCAGCTCTTTCTGATTTGAGCAGTCTGGCCAGGCGCTGGGAAGGCATAGAGCCTGTGGTGTCAAGCGCCCCCTGGCAGTGGCATCCTGGGGGTGTCAAAGTAACACTATAAATTTACGGCCCAACTGTGTGAAACTGCATTAGGACTAGAAAATTTAGAACACAAAAATCTGAATACGTAATTTACATTTTCTCTGTTGTCAATTTTTCTGTTTATTTGTGAATGAATGTGAGATACAGCATTGCCTTCTTATAACAAAATTTATTTACATGTCCTTACACAGCCAAAAAACAAAAAGCTCAGTCATTGGGGTTGATTTACTAAAGGCAAATAGACTGTGCACTTTGCAAGAGCAGTTGCTCCGGAGCTTAGTAAATGAGCTCTGCTGACATTCATCGTTACTAAATGTATTTATTGTTGGTACTTACGTATATAGCGCTGTTGATTTACACAGTGCTTTACACATATATATTGTACATTCACATCAGTCCCTGCCCTCAAGGGGCTTACAGTCTAAGGTCCCTAACTCACATTTATACCTGCAAAATACTTATTAGGGCCAATTTAGACAGGATCTAATTAACTTACCAGCATGTCTTTGGAGTGTGGGATGAAAACCGAAGTGACCCAAGCAGACACAGGGAGAACATACAAAGATACAAAGATAGTGCTGTGGCTGGGATTCAAACCAACGACCCTAGTGCTGACAGGCAGAAGTGCTAAGCTCTTAGCCACTATGCTGTTTTTTTATTTTCCTTGCACATGATTGGGTATTTGTTTGCAAAGTGAAGTTACATAATTTACTAAGCTCTGGAGCAACTGCACTTGCAGAGTGAAACTGCACATTGCAAAGTGCACAGTCATGCAAACCATCCCTTTTACCCCCTTTTAAAGATTTGTCCATCCAGAGCCGCTGGTATATGGTCTATATATAGAGATAATTTTATAGAGTTAGTAATATCAAGTTACATTTAGCTGTTCCAGACTTCTTAGCCCTCATTAACTGAAAGAGATTAAGTACGTCATATCTGTTGCTATGTGCTAACAGTATTATAAAGTAACCATATTGAATAAGCATTGTAATTGACCTTTAAGCAACAAATGCCATATTTACCAATGCCTGGAAAGCTAACAAAAAGCCATAAGCAATCATTACCGCTGACCAAGCAATTCCTTACCTACACTGATGGGTCCAGAAAAATATTAAGTGAGACAAGTCATGTTATATCTCTGCACTGACTCTTGAGATGTGTAGAGCGGGAAAAGTCTTGGCACAAGGTTAATTAATGTACCCTAGCTTCCTATAAAAAGGAGTGTTCAATAGCAAACAATAAAACAATCTTGTGCAAAATTATGTCTGATGGTAAATTAATCTAAATAATTCCATGTAAAGATTAACAAATCTTTACATGGAATAATTTTCTTAAAACACCTTGCATCCCTGTATTCTTAAACCTGATGTTGCTTCAGAACAAGGAAAAAGAACTGTAAAAAGCATAATTCACTTTATTCTTAAGGAAAGAAAATTCTTTCTGATTCCCAAAGGCAATCCCTTAATCAACAATCTAACATTATTTATAATAAATATAATAGCCAGTTATTCTTATACCGGATCATTATGTGTGTGTGTGTATATATATATATATATATATATATATATATATATATATATACACACACACACACACACATATACACACACAGTGCCTTGGAAAAGTATTCATACCCCTTGAAATTTTCCACATTTTGTCATGTTACAACCAAATTGTAAATGTATTTTATTGGGATTTTATGTGATAGACCAACACAAAGTGGCACATATTTGTGAAGTGGTAGGAAAATGATAAGTGGTTTTCAAAATATTTTACAAATAAATATCTAAAAAAATGTGTCGTGCATTTGTATTCAGCCCTGTTTACTCTGATACCCCTAACTAAAATCTAGTGGAACCAATTGCCTTTAGAAGTCACCTAATTACTAAATACCCTGTGTGTAATTTAATCTCAGTTAGTGAACAAACAGCATCATGAAAGCCAAGGAACATACCAGACAGGTTAGGGATAAAGTTGTGGAGAAGTTGAAAGCAGTGTTAGGTTATAAAAAAAATATCCCAAGCTTTTAACATTTCATGAAGCACTGTTCAATCCATCATCTGAAAATGGAAAGAGTATGGCACAACTGCAAACCTATCAAGACATGGCTATCCACCTAAACTGACAGGCTGGGTAAGGAGAGCATTAATCAAAGAAGAAGCCACAAGGCCCATGGTAACTTTGGAGCAGCTGCAGAGATCCACAGCTCAGGTGGGAGAATTTGTCCACAGGACAACTATTAGTTGTGCGCTCCACAAATCTGGCCTTTATGGAAGAGGGGCAAGAAGCAGGGGCGGACTAACCATTTGGAAACTCGGGCACTGCCCGAGGGCCCGGGGTTAGTAGGGGGCCCCATGAGATGCCCCTGGTACCTTTTTCATAGGCTTTTTTGAGTTTGGGCAAGGACACAGGGGTCCCATGATCCCCTATTGCCTCATCCCGTTTGTGCCTATCTACTCTCTGCTAGCCGCATGACTAAACCCCCGCATGTATATAGCTGCATGCAGAAACCCCTGCATCAGAGGCGGACTGACCATTTGGAAACTCGGGCACTGCCCGAGGGCTCGGGGTCAGTAGGGGGCCCATGAGATGCCCCTGGTACCTTTTTCTTAGGCTTTTTTGAGTTTGGGCAAGGACACAGGGGCCCCATGATCCCCTATTGCCCGGGGGCCCCATGAGTTGTCAGTCCGCCCCTGGCAAGAAGAAAGCCATTGTTGAAAGAAAGCCATAAGTCCCGTTTGCAGTTTGTGAGAAGCCATGTGGGGAACACATGTGGAAGAAGGTGCTCTGGTCAGATGAGACCAAAAATTAACTTTTTGAACTAAAAGCAAAAAGCTAAATGTGGTGGAAAACTAAACACTGCACATGACCCTGAACACAATATCTCCAACGTGAAACATGGTGGTGGCAGCATCATGTTGTGGGGATGCTATTCTTCAGCAGGGACAGGGAAGCTGGTCAGAGTTGATGAGAAGACAGATGGAGCCAAATAAATGGAAATCTTAGAAGAAAACCTGTTAGAATCTGAAAAAAGACTTGAGACTGAGGCGGAGGTTCACCTTCCAGCAGGACAACGACCCTAAACATACAGCCAGAGCTACAATGGAATGGCTTAGATCAAATCATATTCATGTGTTAGAACGGCCCAGTCCAAAGTCCAATTGAGAATCTGTGGCAAGACTTGAAATTTGCTGTTCACGCACGTTCTCCATCCAATCGGACAGAGCTTGAGCTATTTTGTAAAGAATAATGGGCAAAAATTTCACTCTCTAGATGTACAAAGCTGGTAGAGACTTACTCAAAAAGACTTGCTTGCAGATGTAATTGAAGCGAAAGATGGTTCAACATTTACAAATTATTGACTTAGTGGGGCTGAATACGAAAATGCACGCCACACTTTTCAGATTTTTATTTGTAAAAAATGTTGAAAACCATTAATCATTTTTCCTTCCAATTCACAATGATGTGCCACTTTGTATTGGTCTATCACATAAAATCCCAATAAAATACATTTATGTTTTTGGTTGCAACATGTTTCCAGCCATTTTGGGGTTTGTGGGACATTATGTCCATAAAATTTCACGAAACGTATGCATTAACAAACAGGTATGATTACTTTTTCAAGGCAAAAATGGGGTGGACAAAAGTATATTGTGTGTGTGTATATATATATATATTACCATATATATAAATATAGTGTACAGCAAAATTCAACACAAGGTTAGAAATAGTAGTTCAATCCAACTCCCCGGGCCATGCGGAGATATCCTGCATGGTAGGGGGTTGGGGAAAGACCTGGCAACCTACCCTGTAAAAATAATTGCTAAGAGAATTCATGGAAAAAGTCGCTTTCGAGTGACAGTCCATGCAATCGCCAAGGGTCGGATACGACTGAATGGATAGATAGGGATAGAGTAGTTATATTTGTTGTTTTGTTCATCTTACCTCTTCAGGGATGTCCCACTGCAGTCTGCTTGGTGGTGGGATGCTAGGATTAGTATCTCCTTTACAATGTCCGTCCTCTAGGTATCCCAGGTCAAGTTTATCTGTTGCCATAACATACTGTAAATGCAATACAAAATTAAAATTGTAAAAGGCAGAGGCAACAACATGGTTCATAAAAAGGACTTTTATCCCAGGTCAAGTTTCATGTTGCCATAACATACTGTAACATGCAATACAAAATTACAAATTGTAAAAGGCAGAGGCAAACAACATGGGTTCATAAAAAGATTTTTTATCTAACTCTAACACTATCTGTGTACACTCTTACAAGCGAGATCTGCCATTTCAATTTGACCTTTAATCTGTACAATGCCTTTTCTAATGCGTGAGTAAGTTTAAAATCATTTACCTCCCAGAGATGGCCCACAATTGGAGCATCAGCCCAGGAGTGCTCGCAGTTCATGCCCATCTTCCCATTCTTGAACACAACGAAACTAATTGTTTTATCAAACCACCTATAAAAGAAAAGACAGACATAGGAAATGTGTGCAAAGCGCAACAGCAAGCTGGGGGCCTTAGCACCTGATCAGTACTTAAGTATACGGAAGCTTTATGTTGAGTGCTGATTTCTGATTGTTTATGATGGGTTGCTACTTGCTAAAGATCTTTGCACCCTTTAAAGATGTTTTACTCTTGAAAACAACCCCAGTGTTAAAACAGCTGATGATGAGGTCGCTGCCTCACTGGCGGGTACCCCGGTACGATTAGCCATACAGGCCTGTCTATTGGGGGGCTCATGTCCCGGGGGTCCCTGTTGCCACTATGAGACTGATACATACTATTTGTATTGCCACTTTATGGGCTATTGCCTTACATTGGAAGTCCAATGCTGTACCCTTGGCCTCTGTTTTACACAGGGTTGATGCTGTGATGCTCATGGAACGTATTCATTATACTTTACTGGATGGGATGCACTTATTTGATAAAAACTGGGAATCATGGAGGGATTGTAGACATTTATTGCATGATTAACAACATTCCAAGTGAAGGTTGACTGGCATATATTGTTGACAGGTGTATCATTCAGCCTACTTTATTGTCTACATATTTCATGTACTTGCAATCTATTCTTTTCTATTTCCTCTCTTTTTTATGTTAATATACTTTTCTGCATTGTATTTTTCAATAGTGCCTTGTTTTTGCTGTAAGAATCATTTGAAAATGTACTGTTGTTTTTCAGTTTACTTTTGCAAAATAAAACCGTTTGTAAAAAAAAAAAAAAAAAAAAAAAAAGTGATGAAATGTGCAAATAGAACAACTTTTCAAAATATTAGGATCTGATCTTTTGGAAAGAGCGTAGAAGGGGAACAGAACTCTCAAGAAGATGTAAGCCACTGTAGGGTCCTCCAGACGCCCCTTATAATTTTAAAGTAAACTTATTTTAAAGTAAAGTTTTACACATAATTTGTGTAAAAGTCCCCATTCCGTCAGCACATGCTCACCTTTCCTTTACACACCTGCCGTTAATTTCACCCAGTACTTGTGGGCATGGTAAAACATGTGGCTTACATGGTCTTACATGGAGTGGGGAAATTCCTTACTCAAGTAAGCTTCAATTAGAGCAACACAAGGCTTATTTCTTCAGCTGTGGAGGTTAAAAAGAGCAGTGGGTAAACAAAGGAAATGTGAGCAACTGCAACTGGAGAAGAGGGGGATTAAAGCATAAGTTCACCTTTGGTAACATGTTACATCCCATGTGGAAGAAAAATACATTTGAAATATATTTTAAAAATATTCTTCCCAAATATATTGCCATATATTTGAAATGCTACAATTTTGGACATATTCAATATATTTCAAATATATATACACTCACACACACACTGCATGTTGAAATGCGTTTTTAATTACAAAATATATGAAAAATATTTTTTAAAATACATTTCAAATACACTGCATATCTTTAAAAATACAAATCTACATTTTTGGAATGCATTTACAAATATATTTAAAAATATATGTAAAATGACTTTTTTATATGTTAAAAAAAATCAGAATATATTTTTAAAAATATATATTTTTTAAATATATTCTTCAGATTTTTTAATATATATATTTATTTAAATATATTTTGAAATCTATTGAATATGGCTAAAATTGTAGTATTTCAAATATATGGCATTGTATTTGGGAAGAATATTTTTAAAATATATTTCAAATATATTTTTCTTCCATGTGGGATGTTCCACCCATTTTTAGTGTGGAACATGTAACATGTTCGCAATGCTGCAGTCGCTGCCCAATCCTCCCCCTCCCTGTGACAGCAGTACGGAGAGAAGTTCCCCATACCAGTTGTCACTTTTTAATAACAGTGCAGCCGTGTGGTTCTCCATCCACAGGGCTGGATCATTCATTCACAGAGTTCTGTGAATGAATGAACTACAAGTTCCAACAGCCTTAGAGGCTGTTGACTTGTAGTTCTCAATGAACTACCATGGTGCTGTGGAGCGCCCTGGTAGTTCATGAATTCTTCCTGTCAGTATATCTGCTTGCCTGTATATCCCATACAAGAAAGCAGATATACTGACAGATCTGCAGGAGACCTGCACGGCACCAGTGATCTGCTGATAGCTGGTGCAATACTTTACAGGCTCCTGTAACAAAATATAATTAATGCACATTTTTTTACCTGCAAAAAAAAAAAAAGTGCATTTATTATTTTTTTTTCCAAACGATGAACTTATACTTTAAAGTGAAACTGTTGTTCTTCGCTGCATAACCAAAGCACGGGTTCACTTTAGGTATAACTAAAGGCAATCCTTATTTTATAGTTTTGGGTAAAGAAGAGATGGACTAGAAAACCTGTTGATATTGCTGCCGATGCCCCCCGTTAAGAAGTTTCATCCTCTCTATCTATCCTGTTTACCATTATCATCTAAAGCGAAAGTAAAAGAAACCCCAAAATTATGGGTTGTCCACCAAAAACTAAAGGGGGGAAATTCACCAATGGAGACACTATTTCTAGTGACCTGGGGGTCCCCAAGAAATTCCCTTAATTTGCAGAGATTTTCTCACTTTCTGTTCTGGCTATGGGACAGGAAATGAAGGGAAATCCCCCCCCAATCGGACACAGATGGCAAAAAACAATCTGACAGGGGTTATAACCCTCCCTTACCCTATCCAAAATGAAAAAAAAAAGTTTTGCCTATAGTTCTACTTTAAAGCTTGGTTCACATCTGTGCAGGTGGTTCCACTGCGGATCCGCACAAAACTCCGTGCAGCGGCACCACCAGCCCAGAGGAATGCGGACCCGCAGACAGGTGCCATTACTTCTAATGGCACACTGCCCGCACTGGAAAACGCAACCGTACTGGGAACTGAGGTTACATCCATGTAAACCAGATGTAATGTAAGATCATCGCTTCTGGGTTACTATAACATAGAGTCAAACAAAGCCGATTTGATCTTTGTGTGGCTCTATGACCTGCTGGCGGAAGTGTCAGCTGGTCGATTGGGACTTCCAGTGGCACGGGAGATCCTGGTAAAGCTGCAGAAGGTGGCGGGAGAAGGAGAAATCCCCTCCTGCTTGTAAAAGCAATACAGTGGCTAGTTAGCCACTAGGATGGCTTTTACAAGAAGGCTGACTGCCCGCTGTAAAAAAATAGTACTGAGATGATGTTTGAAGCTGAAGGCATCATCCCAGTATAACTACTCAAACCCCAGTGAAGTACGGATACGTCACTGGAGCTGAAGTGGTTAAACCATAACAAAAAAAGAAAAGAAAAAAAAGAGTTTTTACTCTATTCAGCCAAATTTAATCAAGTAAATGTAAGGAGACATAACACAAGATATAAGGCGAACACAGATAATATGGTAGCTGCTAGCACAAAAGGCAAGGTAACAAACCCACAGTAACCAATTCAAATGTAAGTGCAGCGCTGCACCTACATTTGAAATGTAAGGAGACAGTTGCACAGACACAATGAATAAAATAGTCCTCATATACAAATATCATTCAGAAGGAATACCTGTCATAACATTTTCCATGTAAGAGAGACTTGGCATATTTGTCAAGAGATGTCACAGGGTCATCCTTCTTGTATCCCTGTTCAGTGTCATCCAGGGTTACAAAGAAAGCAGCTTTCTCAACAGCATCCAGGCTCTGCTTGTTCTTTCCATTTACAAAGTGGGTTTTACGAGCATTGGCCCAGGGTACCCTGTATTATACACATAAAAAGTATATGAGTTTATCACTGGTATGAAGACCTAATGTGCAATTCCTGCATAATCAAACGTATGTACTTTATGATGAATGATTTAATTGTTTTCAACATCTGGAAATTATATAGTATACACTATGTATTGTATACTATAGTATACTATAGAATAATTAGTGTATTGCCTTTGTGGCCTGCTGTTTTCATAGCAAGAGGCAGGAAAAAAAATCTAGTCTCTGAATTTGTACAGTAGATACAGTATACAGTAATTAGTTTTAACCCTGGTTCACACAAAAAAGCGGAACCATGTATGGCCAGTTTTAACAAGAACTGAACAAGGGCCTGTGCCAATGAGCTTTGGGCTTGTGATAACCACTTCAATACCAGGCACTTCCACCCTCTTCCTGCCCAGGCCAACTTTCAGCTTTAGCCCTGGTTCACACTGATGCGATTTCTGCCGCATTCCGAAATGCATAGAATCACGACAGGTGAAATAACATGAGTTTCTATGGAGGCCATTTACATATATGCAGTGCGATTCTGATGCGGTTTTAAAAAGGGTCCTGTGCAACTTCAGTGCAGTGCGATTTGTAGCTACATAGACTTGAATGGAAACTGCTTATATGTTCTAAGATAACATGATTCCAATACATTTTCTGCAAGTCTTTTCTTTGTTCTTTATCTCCCGTTCCTGGTCCATGGGAGAGAGACAGAGTGAGAGACTGACTGAGAACACTGCCAAATCTAATCAGAATCACACCTGAATTGGTGAGCAACTACCCCTTGAAATTGCAGAAAAAATGCACAGCATCTTTGTGAACCTAGCCTTAAGGATGGTGTCAATGGCTTTTGTTTGCATCAGACAGGTTTCGGTAATAAGAATGCAAAACCGGGTCAATCAGTGATCACATGCAGAGTAGTAAGCAAGATGTCACTTCTGACATCATTGCTTACTACGTGTGAAATCTGTGAATGATCACAGAGGTCACATAGTACAAGGCTATTCACAACAGCCTTGTACCATGTGACAAGCTGTGACCAATCACAGCTCACACAGTAGTTCTCAATGGCTGCAAGAATGCTTTGCTTTTACAGCCTTTTTGGGTGTAAAAGCAATCAGTGTAAAAAAAAAAATAAAATATTCATCAACCCCCACAAGTAGTACAGTGTCACCATGGTGACACTGTACTGCTAGGGTGACAGTATGTAAAAAAACACAAATAATATAAAAAAATAAAAATGTAAAAAAAAAAGTTTAAAAATTATAAATTTTTGGTTATAAACTAATTTGGGTTATTTTTTTTTTACTAAAAAAATAACGGAATAAATTTTGGCCAAGATTTATGATGAAATATTATTTGCAAGAAAAACCTTTTTTTCAAAATTTTTGGACTTTTTCATTTACATAGCAAAAAAAAATAAAAATCCCAGTGGTGAATAAATACCACCAAAATAAAGCTTTATCTGTCTAAAAAAAAATGCTAAAAAATTCATATGGATACAGTGTTGCATGACCGCGCAATTGTCATTCAAAGTGTGACAGGACTGAAAGCTGAAAATTGGCCTGGACAGGAAGGGGGAAAAAGTGTCCGGACTTGAAGTGGTTAAACGACCCTATAGATAGACAATGGAGTGGAAGTTTAAAAGGGTATGGTCATTCACCCCTTTATAAATAGGCATTTAGCTGTCAGACTAATATAACATTTTATCTGTGGTGTAAAAGAGATGATGGAGATGCAAAGATTGTAGGTATTGTAAAGCATAGCACAATTCAATGACAGTTATTGAATTATTAAAGCGGTATTAAACCCAAAAGCAAACATTTATTATATCGCAGCTTACCAATTCTGAGATGTGATGGCTGCATTAGATTTCTTTCTTATGCTTTCTCTCTTTTATTTTCACATGGTGATCCAGCCAGTAAGGCTGCTGTTTTTCAAGAGAAAAAGCTCTCCTGTAGATGCCGCAGTTATAGGGATGATACAAACCATTTAACACTGACAGAGGTGTTTATAATGATACGTTTTTATTTTTGTAACACTTTTATTCCAAAAAGGAAAAAACCTGTTTTCTGTAACTGCTTATAAAGTATTAGCTGGAGTTCAGCTTCAATTTGTGTATTTAATTCTGCTAGTCCATGTAACACTCCCCTCTATCCAGACTGACAATGCTGCTGTCCAAAGGTGCCCCCTGTGCTTATTCATCCAGGGAGAGGCACTCTAATACAGGAGGCTGGCTAGATCACCAGGTTAAAACAGAAGGGAAAAAAAACACTAAAAGAAAATCTAATGACTGATTAACTGCAATATATTACATTTTTTGTTTTGGGTTTATTACTATTTTAACCCCTTGACACCGAGTACACGCAAATATGTGGCCTCTCAGCATCTGGGCCTTGACGCCAAGTGGCCACATATTTGCGTGCCATTAGAAAATACATATGTGCTAAGAGCGCGTGCCCTGCGTGCTCCCAGCACATATGCCCGCGACTCACAGAAAGGTCCCAATCTCCCCTTGCGATTGGGACCTTTTCTGATCATGTGACCACCATGACCGCGAATCACAGTGGTCACATGACCCTAAAGCCCCGCCCGCCTCCCGGTTTCTGAAACTCTTAAAGGTCCAGGAGGCACAGGCGCCAAAAGGTTAAACAGCTTTTATGGAGCATTTTTACATATGCTTACAGTTCAGGGTCCCATTTATTATCAGAACCCACTAGAGGAGCCCCTGGCAGGTGTAATGGTCCACTACTTACCTGTCTCCAGCAGTAAGGGCAGCCAGTTTCTCCTCCCCAGGCTGGGGCTCAGATTTGTCATCCAATATTCTTTGCATCTGCTGTTCAATCTCCCTGGGCTTCAGTAATCGTCCATCATGATAGAGCCACACTTTGAAGTAGCGCCCCTTGTGGTAGACAACAATGTGTTTGCTGTCCTTTACATGCTGAAGGGTGTCTACAATGGTGAGAGAGTTAAAATGATAAAAACAAGAGCCCAGTACAGGCTTAATTTGTCTTACCAACTGCCCTTCCTCCAGGGACTGAATTCTATTAGATATCAAAGGGCAAATGGGTTGACACCATCTTTCCTGTGGAGACTGGTTTAGATCACTGTTGTGTTGCTTAAAGAAGTTGTAAATTTGAAGTGGCACAATTCTGGCGCTCTGTATGCACTTCATACACACTGCTATGATAAGCAGCACCTGTTTGTGAGCTTGACCAAGATTTTTTGGCTTACTTCTGAACTAAGGCTACGTTCACACTAGCGTTGTGTGCAGGCGGCAGAGAGGCGTTTGGGAAGCGTTTTTACCGCTTCCCAAACGCCTCTGCCAATTCTGCACATTACAGCACATGGTGCTGTTCTAACGGGAGCATTTGCGTCGCGTTGCGTCGTGGCAAAACGGATGCCTCTGGTCGAGTCAGGAGGCTTTGAAGCCTCCTATCCTCGTCCATGGTTCCGGCCGGGGCGTTTGCGATGCGGTTGCGACGCGGTTGCAGGGGCGTTTGCGGAGCGGTAACACCACTCAAACTGCATTATAGGCGTTTGTGGGGCGTTATTAACGCCCGGCAAACGCCTAGCAACCTCCGCTGAACCGCGCATGCGGCGTTTGCGGAGCGTTAAAAAACGCTCCGCAAATGCCGGACCAGCGCTTGCCAAACGCTATAGGGGCGTTTGGCAAGCGTTGGTAAAACAGCCAAGTGTGAACGAGCCCTTAGACCTCCTAATAACTGAATAGATATAACCCATTTTATGTGCTGCCGACTAAAAGGTTTAAGAAGCCTGTAACTACCTGTCATGTGTTTTTCTAGAGGATATTCAAATTTATAACAATTTGTTGTTTCTTTGAAGACCCCCCAATGGATTCTGTGGCAGGTAGTGCAGAAGATTATACTACATCCCCAATGTTATGGTCCAACATAGAATAAATCCTCCAGCTGTCCTGTTGCCAGTTTGCACTGCTGCTGCCTGGGGATTCTGGAATCAGTGGGGTTGATTTATTATGGCAAATGGGCTGTTCACCTGGCAAGGGAAGCCACACATTGCAAGGGAATTTTCCCCAGAGCTTAGTGCATGTGGTGAAATGTGGTCAAACAATACCTAATCACATAAAAGTTATAAAAACAAAAAGCAATTTTGCTTGCACTTGATTGGATATTGAAGGCAGTACAGCTTCACTAACAAAGTGCAATTTCCCTTGCAAATTGAATAGAGTATTTGTCTCTAATACTTTTAAGTGAACCTTTGCTGATGAAAAAACTACTCCCAGCTTCTCAGTAGTAATTACAAAACAAAAAGGCAAGATGTTTGCCAAAATCAGGGGTTGGCAAGCCGTCGATCACGATCTATTGGTCGTCCATGGGCAGCCAACAAGTAGACTGTGAGCACGGCTCTGCTTCCCCCAGCCTCTGCTGCTCTCATGTTCACTGCAGAGTGGAGAGGGGGGGGGGGGGTGCAGCATAGTGCTAGATGGGGGGCAGGGGTGGGAGAGGTCTCAGTTAACCTTTGGAGTCAACTGTTTTTTATGAAAAGTTAACTCCGGCAGCTCCGGCTCCCACCTTCCATCTAGCACTATACTGTCTCCTGATGTCCGCTCTGCTGTATACATGCTGTCAGGTAGGAGAGTGCTACCTACAGTGCTGTGTGTGTGGGAAGGGGGGGAGGGAATTGGAGGATGATGTGAAGGGGACAGAGGACACTGTTGGAGGGGGGACAAAGGACACTACAGTGGGGGGGGGGTGATGTGAGAGGACATTGCTTTGGGGGATGGGGAGGCAAAGGACACTGCTTTAGGGGAGCAGAGGACACTACAGTGAGGGTGGGCGATGTGAATGGGGACAAAGGACACTGTTTTGGGGGGGTACAGGACACTAATGGGGGGAGGGGGCAGAGGACACTGCTATGGGGAGGCAGAGGACACTACAGTGGGGGGGGGGGGTGATGTGAAGGGGCAGAGGACACTGCTTTGGGCGGAGGGAGGAAGGGAGGTATTGTGGGGAGAGGGGTGCAGAGGACACTGCTTTTGGGGGCACAGGACACAACAGTGGGGGGGGGGTGATATGAAGGGAGGTAGAGGACACTGCTTTGGGGGGGCACAGGACACTACCGTTGGGGGGAGAGTGGCAGAGGACACTATACAGTGGGGGAGAGCTGATGTGAAGGGGCAAGAGGACACTGCGTTGGGGAGTACAGGCCACTATTGTGGATGGAGGGAGCAGAGGACACTACAGTGGGAGGGTGATGTGAAGGGGGTAGAGGACACTGCTGGGGGAGCAGAGCGGCAGAGGACACTACAGTGGGAGGGTGATGTGAAGGGGGTAGAGGACACTGCTGGGGGAGCAGAGCGGCAGAGGACACTACAGTGGGAGGGTGATGTGAAGGGGGTAGAGGACACTGCTGGGGGAGCAGAGCGGCAGAGGACACTACAGTGAGAGGGTGATGTGAAGGGGGTAGAGGACACTGCTGGGGGAGCAGAGGGGTAGAGGACACTACTGTGGGGGAGGTCACAGCAGGACACTACTGTGAGGGTGATGTGAAGAGGGGCAGAGGACAATACTGGAATACGCTGTGTTATTCATACTGTCTTTTTATTGGATGCTTGATAGTTTTTTTGTTTTCTTTTGTAGGACACCGTCTAGATCCTCCACTCTGGGGATCTTTGATTTCCTACATGTTGTCCAGGTAGATCTCAAACGCTGAAAGGCTGCCTACCACTGGTCTTAATGATTCCTGTAGAAGGGGAGGATCAGCAAGTTTGAAATCAGATACTGTCCTTCAACAAAGATCACATGCCACCTGCCCAGGCTTTGACTTCTGTCTCTCTAGTATGGCTGAATAGCATACAGTATATTCTGAGATTCTCTTGTCTTAAAGGTCAACTCAAATATAGCAATTGGGTGGGCACTGGTGAGCTAAATCATCTATTGTTTTTTTGTATATCCCAAAAATAACCCAGTGACAATGTCATCAACATTAAGCCGAGTCGCTGCTTTCTCACACAAGACCATAATGAAAGTATAACTTTCATTGCTGGATTCCCCGGTTGTCCATTTACTATACACTTTGGAGATTCAATTAGTGTGGCACGATCATGAAGCTTTGTAATGGCTGCAGAACTGGCCAATTTCAAGCCAATGGAGCACTTGAAAGAAAAAGCAAGCATTTAATGTGTGCCTTAATTTTTATGTGCCATTGGTGAAATTAAAACATTAATTATTTGCTAAATCAATGATCAATATAATTATCAGGCATTTATTAAATAAGAACCCACAAACCACAATCCATTAGTTGGAAGCTGTTAGCTCACTAGGAAAGTCACAGTTTTACGGTCAGTGGAAAAAATGGCATTATTCTTATCCTCTGACAGTAAAACAATATTGGGTTAGTAAAAGATTAGATCATGCAAGAAGGTGAAGTATTAAGTGGGTTTTGGTGCAAAAATAGACTGTGGTGTGCTAAGCAACATTTAGGTGAAAAATAATGCAAAAAGCATTGAGTGGCAATTCAAATGCAGACTTGACGTACATCACACTAATATTATAAAGCTTCCTTACTGTGTGGCCATTTACAAACAAAACTGCTGAATAATGTAGATCACAGACAGATATTTCACTGAACTGTTAGTAAAAGCAGATGTACAGGAAGTAAGATAGACAGTGTCTTGAAAAAGTATTCATACTCCTTGAAATGTACACATTTTGTCATGTTACAACTAAAAACGTAAATGTATTTTATTGGGATTTTATATGATAGGCCAACACAAAGTGGCACATGATTGTGAAGTGGAAGGAAAATGATAAACGGTTTTCACCATTTTTTACAAATTAATATCTGAAAACTGTGACGGGCATTTGTATTCAGCCCCCGAGTAAATATTTTGTAGAACCACCTTTCGCTGCAATTACAGCTGCATGTCTTTTTGGGGATGTCTCTACCAGCTTTGCCCATTCTTCTTTGCAAAATAGCTCAAGCTCTGTACGAATGGATGGAGAATGTCTGTGAACAGCAATTTTCAAGTCTTGCCACAGATTCTCAATTGGATTTAGGTCTGGAGTTTTACTGGGCCATTCTAACACATGAATATGATTTGATCTAAACCATTCCATTGTAGCTCTGGCTGTATGTTTAGGGTCGTTGTCCTGCTGGAAGGTGAACCTCCATCCCTGTCTCAAGTCTTTTGCAGACTCTAACAGGTTTTCTTCTAAGATTGCCCTGTATTTGGCTCCATCCATTTTCACATCAACTCTGACCAGCTTCCATGTCCCTGCTGAAGAAAAGCATCCCCACAGCATGATGCTGCCACCACCATGTTTCATGGTGGGGATGGTGTGTTCAAGGTGATGTGCAGTGTTAGTTTTCCGCCCTATTTAGCATTTTGCCTTTAGTCCAAAAAATTTTAATTTTAGTGTCATTTGACCAGAGCACCTCTTCCACATGTTTTCTGTGTCCCCCACATGGCTTCTCACAAACTGCAAACGAGACTTATGGCTTTCTTTCAACAATGGCTTTCTTCTTGCCACTCTTCCATAAAGCCCAGATTTGTGATGTGCACGACTAATAGTTGTCCTGTCGACAGATTCTCCCACCTGAGCTGTGGATCTCTGCAGCTCCTCCAGAGTTACCATGGACCTTGTGGCTGCTTCTCTGATTAATGCTCTCCTTGCTCGGCCTGTCAGTTTAGGTGGATAGCCATGTCTTGGTAGGTTTTCAGTTGTGCCATACCCTTTCCGTTTTTAGATGATGGATTGAACACTGCTCTGTGAGATGTTCAATGCTTGGGATATTTTTTTTAAACTTCTCCACAACTTTATCCCTGTCCTGTCTGGTGTGTTCCGTGGCCTTCATGATGCTGTTTGTTCACTAATGTTCTCTAACAAACCTCTGAGAGCTTCACAGAACAGCTGTATTTATACTGAGATTAAATTACACACAGGTAGACTCTATTTACTAATTAGGTGACTTCTGAAGGCAATTGGTTCCACTAGATTTTAGTTAGAGATATCAGAGTAAAGGGGGCGGAATATAAATGCACTCCACACTTTTCAGATATTTATTTGTGAACATTTTTGAAAACCATTTATCATTTTCCTTCCAGTTCACTTTGTGTTGGTCTATCACATAAAATCCCAACAAAATACATTTACGTTTTTAGTTGTAACATGACAAAATGTGCACTGTATGTATACATGCACGGTGCAACTATCAGTTAATTAGGATGATCTATACTAAATCTATTCACAGACAAGCAGCAGAGGCATGCAATAATGTCCATTCATATGAACATGGTTATATTCCAGAAGATGGCTGCACCAATTCTAAACAAGCAAAGACAAATATGAGGGGTCTTCAAAAGGTTTCAGTACTTTTATATAACAGAGGTTAAAACAAGTGGGGAAACATTCTGAAGAACCCTTGTAATAATGAATTAGGCAGTATATGTTCAATAAATACTTTATACTACCTAGTGAAAACAATGCTACCTGAACACTTTCTGCATAGAGTAGCAATTACCTTCTACACATAGATAAGGGCATGTTCCCAGTGTCTGGGTGGGTGATAACACCATTGTGATATTTATTTTAGGTACTTATATAGCGCTGTCAATTTACGCAGTGCTTTACATATATATTGTACATTCACATCGGTCCCTAACCCTTGAGGGGTGTACAAACTAAGGTCCCTAACTCACATTCATACACACACATACTAGGGTTCAATTTAGACAATGCAGAGCTATCAGACCTGTATTGTACAAGAAGGAGGCTGGTGTGCAGCTGTGGCCAAAGGGTCTTAGAGAGGAAGCAGCACTGGACCGGATGTACGGATTGGGAAAGCTTGATGAATAGGGAATAAGGTAAATATTCACCTTATTCATGCACCCCTATATCTAACTAGTAGTTAACCATTAAAAGTGTGTGTGTGTGTGTGTGTGTGTGTGTGTGTGTGTGTGTGTGTAGGGGGGGGGGGTTATTGGGGCGCTACAAGGGTAGATTTTGGTTAATTCCTGGAGATCAGCTTTAGGACAGGAAAGGGGATGAGTCACTTCGCTAACTCAATCAGTTATGTGGGGTATTTTCAGCTTGAACTATTTAGCTTTGTAAACAACAAGCTAAGCAAATAAGGACAGCATGGAATACATGAGAAAAGAAGCCTTGTGTTCCAGCTGCTGGCTGGCAATGAATAAACAATTTTTTTTTTAGTCCCTATCATAATAAAGAACAAATATTTCTGCAAAATCACTAAACATTCCCTTTATGCCTTCAATGGAAAAGAGGACATATGGCTCTTTCTTTCAATATACAAGTGCTGTCTGATCCCAGGTACATAAGCATGGCCATTATAAAGAACACATAGGGGAGACTTACTAAGACTGGAGCTCCCGTAATCTGGTGCAACTGTGCATGGTAGCCAATCAGCTTCTAACTTCAGCTTGTTCAATTAAGCTTTGACAATAAAACCTGGAAGCTGATTGGTTTCTATACAGAGCTGCACCAGATTTTGCGCCATGCAGTTTTAGTAAATCTCCCCAAAATAATTTCTGCCCGTCACGCTCATCTATTAAAGAATAAGTTCACCTTTGGGAACATGTTACATGTTCCACCCGTTTTTAGGGTGAAACATGTAGCATGTTCCCAATCCTGCAGCTGCCCACCCCGATCCCCCACTCCCTGTGACAGCAGTTTGGGGAAAACTTCCCGTACTAGTTGTCACTTTGCAGCCGCTTGGGGCTCCGCTGACACGGCCGGGTCATTTACTTACAGTGTTCTGAGAATGAATGGACTACAAGTCCCGACAGTCTTAGTGGCTGTCGGCTTGTAGTTCTCAATAAACTACCACGGCACTGTGAGGGAAGTACGAGCAAGCAGATGAACTGACAGTCTGCAGGAGACCTGCATGGCATCAGCGATCTGCAATGCTTTCTAGGCTCCTACTACAAAAAATAATGCACGTTTATTACCTGCAAAAAAATGTGCATTTATTATTTTTTTGTAGATAGGTGAACTAATCCTTTAAGCCTCAGAGAAAACCTTTGAAGGTAAAAAAAACAAATGTGTTCCTTCATATAAGTCTTTGCTAACTACAGTGGCATTCCAGAGAATTTTTTGCAGATCTGTTTGGTAACTCAGCATGAAATAGTTCCAGCACTTTTCTCCTGTACAGACGTTTTGGGGTTTATTTACTAAAGCTGGAGAGTCCAAAATCAGACTCCCTTCTGCATAGAAACCAATCAGCTTCTAACCTCAGCTTGTTCAATGAAGCTTTGGCAATGAAACCTGGAAGCTGATTGGTTTCTATGCAGAAGGGAGTCTGATTTTGGACTCTCCAGCTTTAGTAAATAAACCCCTTTGTGTAATAAAGACCAGTCACTGATGCTCTCTTTCCTTGTGCTGGGTTCCTGGTCTTGTATCCACCCTCTTGTAGTTTTCTGCAGGTTGCATGTAATGTGTGCACCTACTGAGAATCATCTACAGCCCTGCTTTCTGACATGTGTAGGATAGTGATGTTGTCACTGTTACTTTTACAGGAAAATAACTAAATAAATAATAAAATGTTTTGTGCCCAGAGTTCAGAATTTCTAGAAATCCACTAAAAATGAAACTAGCAGCAAAGCTTGCCATGTGTGTAAAACCTCAGAATATCCCAGAGAAATACAGTATACAGCAGTCAGTTTGTAAATGGTCCACTCTGGTAATGTTAGGCTCTTGTTTTTCATTTTGAAACAACACAACAAAAACATACAAAAATTGTAATGTTGCCACGTGCGTGTTAAAAAATGTGATTCTTGCTGCAAATGCGCTATAATTGAGGTGACTGACAACATGCAAGACAGGGCCAAAGCTGTACCTGTCTCAACGCCAGGTATACGGCTAGTATTGAACATTCGTTCATACTGGGCGGAACACATTGGAATGGTACTATTAATCATAAGCTGAAAGGAAACAAAGGATGAGACAAAATAAGGTGAGGGTATGGAAAGTAAAGTATTGTCAAACAGGCAAAAAATTATTTAAATAAAAGAATAAAAAACATGAAAGGACCCAGATGAACCTGGAATGGAAACACAAAATAAGGAGAGGCAGAGCCAAGCAGCCATCTAGACAAGGGAAGGACATTTATGTGAAATATTACCTGTGAGATACCATAAAAAAATTCCCATAATTGAAAACTGCTTCCAGGCTGTGCCTGTTGGCTCATTATCAGTTAAGAATTAATTTAGGAATTTTCCAAAGCGAGGCCAAATCCATCAAATACAATAATAATATAGTATAACCCACAAATTAATTAGATGTCAGCTTCCATAGAGTTATATCCTTGGTTCCTTGTAAATGACAAAGCCAAATCAATTCTGGCAAATAAGCACTTTGACTTGTTGCCACCTAATCTTATTGACTGTAAACCTTGGAAGTAGACATCCATGCAGATGTGATGGGTGAGCTCTCTCACAGTTAATATTTGCCTATTAGCGGGGACTGGTTATACAACCACTGGCTGCTCTTACCTGTTTCTTCTCCAGGGATCCGGGAAGTATTAAACATTCTCTCCCACTGAGATGAGCATAGTGGAACAGTGGATCCCATCAGCAGAATCTACACCACATACCACACAGTGTGCCGCAAGGGTTATAAATACAATTTTAGAAAAAATATTAAGGGTAGAAATAAAGACAAGGCAATGTAGTTTATTTACAACGGTTTGCGTCCTCCAAAAAAAGTTACAATAATTCTGCTTTAACTGAAAAACAGATCTATACTTAAGTCCTCATGCACAATGGACGTTTTTATAGCTGCTGTTTTTCGCTTTTGATGTTTTTTTTTCTACAGCCAGTAAACCCCCCAGCATGTTATTCTATTTGTCCATGCACACATAGACTGTAATCAACGTTTTTTGGCTGGGACATTTTTTGGCTGGTAAACAAACCCAGAACTAGTCGGTGTTTTAGAACTAGAGGCGTTTTTTAGCTGAAAAAATGCTCCAATGCTGATAAACGTGGCAAAACATGGTAAATCGCGGCAAACCAGCATTTTTGGATTTTTTTTATGAAAAGAAAATTTTTCTTTGGTTAAAAAAAACCTCTAAAAAAAGCCAAAAAATGCGACAAAACGTCTCTAAACACTACTACAAAAATGCACGTTTTTAACATGACTTTACACAGCTAATGTTACCAGCGTTATTAAAACGCCCAGTGTGCATGGAGCCTAAAAGGCAACCATACAATTTCTGTAAATGTCTGTAAATTACAACAATGAACTTCTCTTGTTTGCTCCTTTTTGGTCTGCTAAATATACTATTGAAAGTGTTTTGCTATATTTGCTAGATATGTGCAGAAAACCCTATTAATTGTGTAAGAGATTCAGAGCAGTCCTGTATCCTCTACACACTGTACAACTGGGCAGGGCTGACACCTCTCAGGCAAAAAATACAATGGGGTTGATTTACTAAAGGCAAATAGTCTGTGCACCTGCAAAAGCACTCCAAGTGCAGTTGCTCTTGATCTTAGGGGAAGCATGAGCATGTGATTGGGTATTCTTTGCAAAGTGAGGCTTTACTTCATTTATTAAGCTCTGGAGCAAGTGCACTTGCAGTGCACAGTATATTTGTCTTTAGTAAATAAACCCCTATGTGTTGTCAGCCCACAACATGAACATTAGGAGCTGAATGGATTGCTGGCTGATCAACGGGACTTTAAAAAAATAAAACATGGGGAAATGTGTTTGTTTTGAAGTGATGTATTGTATATGTTTTTTTTTATTTAGTCAATTTAAGTTTTTATTACAAAGATGAAGGATTAGAACCTATTGCAGGTCTTTATTGCTGTCTCTTTCCCTATTTCTCCTTATGTCTATTGGACAAGTGTTAGACAAACATCTCCTCCATTTCAATTTAGTCAGTATTGAGGACACAAACAGACATTAAAACACATATTCAGAAGAGTAGGAAAGATTTGGTATTCTTTTCAGGATGTTATTGCTGTATGCGTCCCCCTGACAGGGATTTCCCCTTACTTCCTGTCCATGTGATGGATAACAAAGATATAAGGAAGAGAAGAGAAATCTGCTCAATGGACATAGAGACAGCAGTTATAATCTGACAGCAAATGTCTGCTCAACCAGGACACATTTATAACGTGACAGGTTAAATCCTTTGTAACTTCATTCAAAACTAAAAAACTAAAAAAAAAAAAAAAAGCGTTTTGGCTGGATTTAAGACAGCATAGCACTTCCCATTTGTTATTCTGTAACCAAGACCTCCATTAACAGACTCATACAGTGCCTCAGCTAGTCAGACTTCAAGAATGAATCACAATGTACAGCATGATCATGTCATTAGGTTGTGCTCATGCTTATCTGGTACATTTACATATTTTCCTTTTAATAGAATGCCAACCAGGGTTGGTGGATTCATGAGAAAGACCCCAAATTAAATACATGAACTACACTCCAGAATGTTTTCCATCAAGTCTCAAAGACCAGCAAGCTGTTCGCACCCCCCTGAGCCTACAACATTCTTGAGCACAGAAGTATGGCTCCAGCAGAAAGAACCAAGTCCAGCTGATGAATCTTGGTGCTAGAGGTCTAAAGATGGTTATATGTCACATCCAACACAGAATTTTCATTATTGGGTGAAATTATATTTTACAAAAACTGGTAGTAATGCTATAGACATAACTATACATACCGGTTTAATTTCTTCTCTGTCCAGTTTTCTTCGATAGAGCAAAATGGCATGGATGGCATTGCCAGCTCTTGCTGCTTGGATTTGGGTTGGCAACACATATAAGTAATCCTGGAAGATAAAGGTAATTTTTTATTATTCATCACTATTGTGATCATGGAAAGAATATAATAACATAATTTAACCTGGACTGAAAGGCATACAGTATGTAAGCTCTCATTGCTGATCTTCTGAAAATACTAGTTGCCTGACTTATGCTGATGCACTGGGTTTTGTTCTTTCTGACACATTGTCCTGGAAGAAGTACGCAGATCAGGTATTCTGACTTTTTATTGACTTGCATCTGGTTAAAAACTGAAAATACTGAAGCCACAGGCTGCCAGGCAACTTCCAATAGAGGTCATCAATGGCAGCCTTAATGTGGAGTAAACCACTGTAAAAATATTTTTAAAAATTGGGCCCCCTGCAGTTTTACGTCATAATGTACTACTATGCACCACATACTAGAAGCAAGTACTGGAGGCAAGCTTGCCATTCAAGAAAAAGCAACTGGTTTGCTCTGATCTCTCATAAATCCCAGCATATCCTTACATTTCCCTTGCTCTCATGCCACTCATATCAGCGCTGGGAGTCAACATTTCAGTGCTGGGAGCCAAAGGATATACTCAGTACTTCCAAATTTGGGAGGAGAATGTGACAGCACTTGGTCAATCATCTCTGTCACATGGAGAGGTTATACCCTTGCACAAGCTAAGAATCATGAGACTCATAGCTCACCTAAGGTCTCCCCTTTCACTACCCTGAATGGAAGACAGAGCAAAAAAAATAGGTGAGTAGATGCTGCTTACACAGGCTATGTTAAACTGAATCTGTTTTTATGTCCTGCATGGGGAAAGCACAGGATAACTTCAAGCTATAATGGCGGGGGTGGCTCTCTTACTACACTGTTAGTCACTAATAAATATAGATAGCTGTATCTTATTAGGAAACAAAGACCAATTAAAAAGGTAATAGCCAATATACTTATACTGTTATAATGTCAATTCATAGGAATATTATTCATGGGGAAAGGGCAAATGATGTCAAGTGGTAATAAAATGTCCTGTTCTATTTTTATAGTGGTTTTATTGTAGTTTGAACTTTATACTGGTAATGTTTCACCCAACTGTTCTAGTAATACGTAGTACAGTACATGAGATAAAACAATTTACAAGGAACTGGTGAAGATAAAACAGACACAAGTTAAATTCTGAATATATGGAAGTACTGGGGAAAATTAGCCACTGATACAATTCTGGTGCATTGATGGGCTGCATCACATTATGGCTATCTTCACAAAAATGTGTTGATAATACAATGGAAAAATGTTGCCCAACAGACAGGAAGCAGACTGACAGATCCCACTGGATAAATATTGCATTACATGCTATTTTAAATATATGTGTCAGTAGATTAATTCCCTAAACACAATAAATGATTAATATTTTAGATTTATGATGGAAATGATACATACAGGCAACTTTTATATTAAGGAGGCTCTACTCTGAATTGCACTGGTTTACTGGAGAGTTTAATGGTTTCTTTAAGGACCATCTCACCACATCTTGTCTGGCTGTACCATCTTGTCAGTCTATAAGCTCTGCTCCTTAGAAGCCATGGTTTCCATATACTGCACTGGTGATGGCCAGCGAGCGGAGTATAACATTTATTTATTTATTTCAGGTACTTATATAGCGCCCTCAATTTACGCAGCGCTTTACATATATATTGTACATTCACATCAGTCCCTAACCCTCAAGGGGTGTACAATCTAAGGTCCCTAACTTACATTCATACATACACATACTATGGACAATTTAGACAGGATCTAATTCACCTACCAGCATGCTTTGGAGTGTGGGAGGAAACCAGAGTACCTGGAGGAACCCATGCAGGCACAGGGAGAACATGAAAACTCCAGGCAGGAGGTGCCGTGGCTGGGATTCGAACCAACGACCCTAGTACTGCCAGGTGGAAGTGCTAACCATTTAGCCACTGTGACGCATTTGCATGCATCTGTCATTTAAACCAACAGTTCCAGATGCAAATCTGGCCCAGGGGCAAAGAAGAACGATCTGCATTGCCACTATCCTAAAATGAGTAATCAACCTATTTTAAGGAGATGTGACAGAAGCAGGACATGCATAAAGAACATCTGTTAAAGGATGGCTCTACTCTGCTCCCCACTTGTTTTTTAAAGGACTTTTTGGTTGATTTTATTCTATCCCACCTACCTACCTTGCTATACTTTCTTTGCATAGACAAACTCACCATTGCATAGTAATTGCTGTTGACCATAATTGGTCCACGGCCTCTGAGGTAGATATACTCTTCCCACCAGTCGCTTACCTATCAACAAACAGAGAAATCAGCACAGGGAGAAAAGAGATTTAGAGTAACATTTTAAAGAAAAGCTTCATACAAATTATAAGCTATATCGAAACCTTATAATAAAAAAAAATAATATTTTGTCGCTTACAAGTCCTTAGATGTGGTGGCAGCATTTGTTTTCTTTTGTTAAAGTTAAGTATATGTTGCGCAAGTACAGAAAAATACCTGTTGATCCCATCAGAAATCGTGTATCCTTGTAACTTCCTATGGACTGAACTGAAATCTCAATGTTATCAGTTATCCTAACTTCCTCTATGTAATGCAAATGGGGAGAGGGGAGGTGTTTAAAGTCCAAATCAGGAGAGCACCCTACGCTGACAACACTGCTCCCCCATATCTATGGAGGAGAGGTGTTGTCAGCATAGGGTGCTCTCCTGATTTGTGTTATCACCGAGGTCAGGAAGTGTCTTAGTGGCAGAAACACCACATTAAAAAAAACACACCAGGAAAAGGAAACTAATGCAGCCACCACATCTAAAGACTTATGTAGTCTTACATTTAGATACACTTTAATAGTGGGAATCCAGGAAATAAACAACCAGTTGTCTCTTGAAGCATGCCATGTCCCCCATTGTCTTTTGAAGCATGTTATATCTCCAACAAGTCCTATAGTGTTTTCATAGTCTCTGACCATCTCTTGTAGAATGTCTATAGCCTCTGACAGCTTTCTATAACCTTATAAAACACTGAATATTATGTTTGGCCCTTCAGTGATGACAGAAGCCGCGGTTGTGCCCTCATATCAAAAAAGCTGACCAACACTGATCTACAGCAACTGTCATGAGAGATGGCATGCATATAAAAGGTCCATATGACCAAATGGCAAGGACAGAGTCTATATTAACCATCAAATTCAAAGCCTGGCCAAACTTTAGCTTACACTTAACCACTGCAGACTCTTTAGTAGAATTCACCAATACTGTTTAAAATATGAATTATAAGAGGCAAGAAGAAATAAATAATCTATTAATATCTGCTAGCTGCTATACAGTTTTACTAAGTATTATAAAATATTTAAAAAATATATAAAAATGCAGGTAAATATGTACATATATACAGTAATCGAGATACAATGGGTTTTTCATGAGGCATTCTAACAATGAGTACAATTCTAAATTCTGCACTAGTCACAAATATTTCTCCCACACGTACCACACACAATAACATGAAGAGGGTTTCTGGAAAATATAACATTTAGCACTGCTGGAGGAATGAGAGTGGCATATGAGTGCAGCCTTAAAATGAACATGTACTTCAGGTTCACTTTAATTCCACCCCTTCAGTTGCTTATGGTTACCTTTACTTGCTCCGTTAGCGAATGGCAACAGCAAAAGCCTGCATAATCTCAAAGTCCTTGCTCAGATACAGGTAGAGCTAAAGGAAGGTTTAGGGTACATCTGGGTAATGGGTGTGGGGGTTAGGGTTGCAGAGAGTGTTGGAATTACAGTTGCGGTTACATAGAGGGTTGAAAGTTTTAGAGATTTCAGAGAGAGTTCAAATTAAAGGAAGGGTTAGGGTTATAGAGAAGGTTAGGGTTACAGGGAGGGTTACGTTTACAGAGAGGTGTGTTATTAGATGGAGGGTAAGGGCTACAGAGAGGGTTGGAATTATAGGAAGGGTTAGAGTTACAAGGAGGGTTAGGGTTACAAAGAGGGCTGGAATAACAAGGGCTAGGGTTACAGCAAATATTAGGGTTACAGAGAAGGTAAAAAAGTGTGGAATTATAGGAAGGGTTAGAGTTACAAGGAGGGTTAGGGTTACAAAGAGGGCTGGAATAACAAGGGCTAGGGTTACAGCAAATATTAGGGTTACAGAGAAGGTAAAAAAGTGTGGAATTATAGGAAGGGTTAGAGTTACAAGGAGGGTTAGGGTTACAAATAGGGTTGGAATAACAAGGGCTAGGGTTACAGAGAGTTACAGCAATTATTAGGGCTACAGAGAAGGTTGGAATTATAGGAAGGGTTAACGTTACAAGGAGGGTTAGGGTTACAAAGAGGGCTGGAAATAACAAGGGCTAGGGTTACAGCAATTATTAGGGCTACAGAGAAAGTTGGAATTATAGAAAGGGTTAGAGTTACAAGGAGGGTTGGAATAACAAGTGCTAGGGTTACAGAGAATTACAGCAATTAATAGGGCTACAGAGAAGGTTGGAATTATAGGAAGGGTTAGAGTTACAAGGAGGGTTAGGGTTACAAAGAGGGTTGGAATAACAAGGGCTAGGGTTACAGCAATTATTAGGGCTACAGAGAAGGTTGGAATTATAGGAAGGGTTAGAGTTACAAGAAGGGTTAGGGTTATAAAGAGGGTTGGAATAACAAGTGCTAGGGTTACAGAGAGTTACAGCAATTATTAGGGCTACAAAGAGGGTTGGAATTTGGGGTTGTATATGTGGGGGTGGGGGGGTTGGGTTTACAGAAAAGGTTGGATTAACAGGAAGGGTCAGAGTTACAGAGGGGGTTGGAACTACATGGGAGGCTTAGGTTTGCAGAGTTGAAATAACAGTTACGGCTACAGGGAGGGTCGGAATTAGAGGGAGGGTTAGGGTAACACACAGGGTTGGATTTGCATGGAGGGTTAGGGTTACATAGGAGGTTGGAATTGCGGTTAGGGTTACAGAGAGGTTAGTTTGCTTAAGCTGGCCATAGATTACTCATTCGTTTTTGTTTTATCAATCAGCCAGGGGGCTTCTTTTTTTTTTTTCTTTTGTTAATGAACAGATTCCTCAATCCACACAATAGAGGTATAGAGGTGGACAGAGGAAACCTTCCAATTGAAAGACTATATTCAGAACAGCAGTGACTCTCCGCTGTCAGAATACACTGGTCCACTGCTACTGCCACTAATCAAGACAAGTTATCCAACGCCTGTTCAACAGAGGTCGATTGTTGGATCGATTTCTGTCTGAGTGGGAGTGGTCACACAGAAATTGAAAGTGGGCTGATCCCTTCTGAAGTGGATGATGTTTGATCTATTTATGGCCAGCTTTACAGAGAGGGTTGGAATTAGAGGAAAGGTTAGGGTTACAACGAGGGTTGCAATTAGGGGGAGGGTTAGGGTTATGGAGAGGGTTGGATTTACAGCAGGGGTGGACTGACAACTCATGGGGCCCCCAGGCAATAGGGGATCATGGGGCCCCTGTGTCCTTGCCCAAACTCAAAAAAGCCTATGAAAAAGGTACTAGGGGCAGCTCATGGGGCCCCCTACTGACCCTGGGCCCTCGGGCAGTGCCCGAGTTTCCAAATGGTCAGTCCACCCCTGATTTACAATTAAGACTACAGGTCTACAGAGAGTTGGAATTACAGTAAGGAGTACAGAGAGGGTTACAAGAAGGGTTAACATTACAGTTACAGGGATCTAAAAGTAAGATATGGATTTCTGTGTCAGGCATCCTGCACAAAAAACTATTGCTGACCTAACAGAGCTGAAAGCCATTGCATCTATCAGAGCAGTTTTTGCAAGATGTACCAAGGCAGCAGAAGGCAGTGGTGCATGTCAGCGTGAAAAGAGGGACTGGGCAAATTGGGCACCTGGAGCAGCATACGTGAGATAAGACCTCTGCATCCTGCCATTTGTCAATTTTAAACTCTAAGGGCAAACAGCCTCAAGGAGAATGCAGGACAGTACGATTTGGGTTTGTATTCTGTTCACCTCTTTATTAGATATTTATTGTGAGACCACCAAGAATTTCCCAGTCTGTCAAATGATTTATTTTGTTATACTGAGCCTTTACAATGTTTAGGTTAAAATATTTTTGCAATATATAAGGATAATGCCACCAAATTCTGTTACATTCAAACCTACAGGTTTTTTTGTTCTGGCAATTCAGATGGCACGTCTGTCCCTACATCACACAGAACAAAAATGAAGATTGAGCCCATAAAAGAAAAACACTATTTTAAACTACAATAAAAACATTCTTATTTGCACTTACAGAGAGAAACTGGTGGAAAAAGCATGTCACTTACATAGTTTGTGGCCCACCATGATTTCAGTTTCAAGTACCACTGAAGTTTTGGTCCAAGGTTAATGGCAAAATCATCAGCAAGGCCTTCCATTCTCTTGAACTGCTGCTCATCCATGAGGGGCCTAACAGACTCCAAGTACTAAAAGAATAATGGAGAAAGGAGTTAGAGTCCTAAAATAATGATACTGTAGAGGTCATACTGCGCTGCTTTTTTTCTCCATTAATCATTTAGAAAATTACCAGTGTGTATGATTTTACTAATGTCTTCTACTAATGACTTGATATAAGATAAGAGCTGTAAGTACTGTTCATATGCAGTTACAGGACAACTAGCAAATCCAGTCCACCACAGGCAAAAATCAATAGGTTCAGTAACAGATATGACAATGAGTGTTTTATTATGAAATCTGAGACAATTGTAAAGACATACTGATTGAATGCCTCAAAGCAACTGATATGGTTCAATTCTGCATTTATAGTTGAGAAAATGAAGATTTCATTTGATTGGCTGCTGTAGGCCAAAACACACAGCTAATATTTCAAACACTAATGACCCCTAAGAGTATAAGTAAATTTTTTTTTTTTTCAGAATGCGAGTTGCCAGCAAATCTTGCTATCGACACACAGTTCTTTTTTCAGCTATCCAAGAGCTGATTTTTTCCTCGCCTTCAATAGATTTCCATTAATTTCCTGCTCTGCATCCAGTACAGAAAATTAAGAGCGCTCTCCACATAGAAATGTGTCAACGAATAAAGGAATCTTCCTTTGAAGAGATCTCTGGTCATTTCTGGTTGTGTCTCAAAACAAGAAGTTAGGGAAAATCAACCCAAAATGACAGACAAAAAAATGACAGAGGTTTTAACCCTTCCCTACTATATTCAAAACTTAAAAAAAAAAATTGGGGGCTTTAGACTTACTTTAAATATGTATACAAAAAATCAAATGAACCGCGCATCAATAGTAGGCATATAATCGTGTATATGTTTCAAACATTCTTAGATTGTAAGCTCCAAGGAGCAGGGCCCTCCTAACACTCTTGTATTGAACTGTATTGTTGCTGTATTGTCTCCTGTTATATTGTAAAGCGCTGAGCGCTATATAAATCCTGTATAATAATAATTTAACATACAGCATGAATTGCCTTTAATAAAGTCCAAAATAGTGAAACAAGTGCAAGTGCTTGTACTCAACTTAATTGAAGTGCTTAATTTCTTCAGTCAGACCAAAATGCTCCACTGTGCTCAACAAGGTGCCCCACATGGCCTAAAACTCACCCTTAGCCAATGACCATCTATTTCTAGAGTGATCTATAATGCTTGTGGGGCATTCCCCAATGGAACAGTTGTCTCCAGATCTCCGCGTGCGTTTCATAGGGCTGATGTGACGTCGGCGGAAGTTGCGTCATTAAACCTCGACGCATTTCGATCAAAGATCTTTTTCAGGAAGTGCACTTCCGCCGACGTCACATCCACCCTATGGAACGCACACCGTTCTGTGGAGAGCGGAATACAGTGGTTTCCATACTATTAGGAGCAAGAAGCCTGAGTACACCAGGTGCCGGGCACAGGAATTTTATTTGTGAGTGAGATTTTGTTACATTTACCCCCCAATAAAATATCTTATGGTTTTACACTATGGGATATCCTCTTTTTTTGCTTTTTTTTTTTTACATGCTTATCCTAAACTTACGGAGATATGGAAACAACTGTTCCATTGGGGAATGCCCCACAAGCGTTATAGACCACTCTAGAAATAGATAGTCATTGGCTAAGGGTGAGTTTTACTCCATGTTGGGCACCTTGTTGATCACAGTGGAGCACTTTGATCTCACTGAAGAAATTAAGCACTTCAATTAAGTTGAGCACAAGCACTTGCACTTGTTTCACTACTTGGGACTTTATTAAAAGGCAATTTATGCTGTATGTTAAATGTTTGAAACATATACACATGATTATATGCCTACTATTGATGCACAGTCCGTTTGATGTTTGGTATACATGTATTGTGGTTATTGCATAAGTTTAGGACTGCTGCAATAGCCTCATTTATCTCTTGTTTGTTAAACATTGCACGTCCAGTAGCATATGAGCACCTTTTTAATTACTTTAAAGATGAATTGCAGGTATGGGTATTTTGTAAATAGCTACATAGGTCCAGCTTGGACCAATGTAACTATTTATATACCATGCCAGGCCAATGTTTCTAGAAGCTGGAAATCACTGAAGTATACACCACTACTCCAGTGATCTTCACTTGCTTCCAGCTGAGCTGCTGGACCACTGCATTTTGCACACAGAAAGTTGGCCACTCAGGATGGACGCCATTCAGAGAATGCTTTGCATTTTCTGAATTGAATGCAAAGCAAAGCATTCTCTGATTGGATGAGGTGAAGAGCGTGACATTACCACCCTGCTTCTCCACCTCGTCCAATCAGAGAATGCTCTGCAATCACTAAGGGATTAATTTAATGTATTCTGCAAAAAAAACTGGTTGGTCCTGTTGTTCTTTATCTGCCCCTTCTGTCTATGTCCCCAGTGCAGCTGTGATTTCTGCAGAGCACGTGTTGGCAGCTACTGCAAATGCTAAGTTTTCAGTGAGTTTCTATGCTGAGCCTTTCCTCCCTATCCCATCTGAAGGTCCCATGTGACTATAGAGTCACACATGTGGGTGTATAAACTCTGGTAAATGACAGCCCACTCCCTCCCTCCTCCTCAATGCCCCTTAACCAGTTAAACACAATAGGGGTGGGATATTGCATTTTGATTGATGGAGGCTTTGCCTCCCTGTTATTCTAAGACACAGGCTGGAGGGGTGTGACACAGTTTGTGACTGTCAGAAATCCACCTACACCATGTTTTTATTTTGAACATGTGACCAGAAGCAGAGGACTAGAAGCTCCCCCTGCTTGTTTCCCTGCGGACAGGATGGGAAATAGCTGGGTCATGTGACAGCTGTATATCGATTAGGAAAAAGGTACTTAGATTTTTTTTAAATTCAATAATTCCAGTGCTATCATCCACATACAATTAGAGAAGGGACAATGTAAATTTAACAGTGTGCATTTAGTATCAGTTTAACTAGTTCCTCTTTGCTGGCTGGAAAGGTTGAGTACAAGGGAACTTTGTTTATGTAACTCAAAGTCTGGGCCTGAAGGTGACATTCCCCTTTCCGTAAACCCTACTTACATGGCCAATGTGTTGAACAAAACCTCCAATGACTATTGTAAGGCAAAGCAGGTGATATATATTTTGTAGCATTTAAAAGAAAATAGTAAAAATTACACAAAAAATAAACAAGACATTGTTTCAATTTCATAATGATCAGAGGTTCACCCAGCATAACCTTTGCTCAATAATTTGAACATCTTGTAAATGACAAAGTAAAACCCCAGTCATTAAATAAGTACTCAACATTTTTTCCTCATACCTGTATTTCTGGGTTTTCTTCAAAACACATACTAACCAGCAAAGCAAATCCAGCGTTGTCCCACTGCAACCTGCAGTTGAGATGATTTACGCTAGTTCGCAAGCCGCCATCTTGGTCCCCTTTAGCAGGCTGCCTCTTCCAGGTGCAGGTAGCCGGACACTGATGTTGTACTGGGCCCACCCGCAGGCTACTCTGTGTGCCCAATCCTGCAGCCTCCTGGTAGATGTGATGTAAATGTCCCAGGAGGCTGCAGAACCAGGAACACGTAATTCTGGCCTAGGTCACAATGGCAGTGGGTGGGGGGAACAATAAGCCAAAAAAAAATTAAGAAAAATCCTGCTGAGGAAGAAGCGTTAAACAGAACTAACTTTAGCTACCCATAAACACTTGTTAGTGTGATTAAGGGACGTTAAATCCATGCATAAAATGTACATCATTGACAGAATATGCTATAGTCATGGTCAGGGGCGGACTGACAACTCAATAGGGATCATGGGGCCCGTGTCCTTGCCCAGACTCAAAAAAACCTATGAAAAAGGTACCATGGGCATCTCATGGGACCCCCTACTGACCCAGGGCCCTCGGGCAGTGCTCGAGTTTCCAAATGGTCAGTCCGCCCCTGGTCATGATAGATACTGTTTTTCTATCTGCACTCTCTTTTTAACTAGCAGTCAGAGAATGTCATGGGACCTGCCATAGGAGCAATACTTTGCTGAAGTGCTTATAATTAATACACATACACATAATACACACACACACATACATACTACTGTATTAGTATACTTAAAGGTTTACATTTTATTAACCAGTGTTTGTTTTCCATTGCTTTGATGAAATGCTTGTTTTAAAAATAAATTTTAATTAAAAGATGCATGCACGACCCTTTGTTAAAAATGTGTTGCTTCTAATAAGAAAGCTTAGCACTACCTTCATGCTTCCTGGCAAACTGGATTAATCAGCTAATTAAATTGTTTCTTCTCTAACTCATTCAGGTCAGCTCACCAGCAAAGCAAAGAAGCTGCCTATTTGAAAGACAGTCTTGAATCTGAACCCCAGGCAGATGGCAAAAACACCAATTAATGCAGTTGTGTATAACTGTATTTTTCCATACAACTTGCATAAGTACCTACAGCGGTGTAGAAAAGAATCACCCCCCCTTTAAAATAATTACATTTTTGTTGCTTTGCAGCCTTAGATGAAGACAGGTGAAAGATATAACACCAACATGTCAGGAAAAAAAAAATAAGTAAAAAATCAAAAACAGAATCACTGAGTTGGAAAAGGGATCACCTCCCCCCCCCCCCCCTTCCTAAAAATGACTCAATCAGGTGCAGCTAATCTCCTTCTCAATGGCACACAATGCAATTTGACTTTCATCTGTGATCACCTGTGGTCATTTTGATTAGCTCAGCATTAACACCCCGGTCAAATCAAGCCCGACTTTGAAATCGTGCGACTTACAGTGAAGTTGCACGATTTCAAATTTGGGTGCGATGCCAATTTCAGGAGCGATTTGCAAGACATCTGACAGAGATGTCTAGGCAAATCGCACGAAAAGTAGGGCATGTACTACTTTAGAAATCGGTGCGGCTCCGACCAAGGTGGTTCATCAAAATACTGACACAAGGGGGTGACCCTTATCAAACTCAGCGATTCTGTTTTTGATTTATTTTTTTGCTGACACGTTGGTGTTCTATATCTTTAACTTAGAAG